ATCCATAAAAATACAGCACCATGAAGTTAAGAGAAGACTTGGAGAACATTAATGGAGTGAGAAACTGTGTCTCTCTCAGCCCTATGGCTGGTTCCAAAGGGGCTCCTCAAGGAGAAGGGGGAATGGCAGTAGAGGGGCAAGCTGGCTAATGAACCTCTTTCTTCCCAGCCCCCTCATCCCAGCCTTAGCAAAAGCTGCTCCTTATTTCATTTGCAAAAAGAACTCTCCATTAATTTTTTTTAAATCTACATGATTCAACAGACCCACATTCTGTCTGAATCCTACATCCTGAAACTACACTGTTTCCTGATCTATTCCTGTCTTGTGTGGGCCTGTCTCCAGCTTCTCACTGATCCTTGGCACCTGTTGCCTGATACTGCTTCTTTGAACCATGCTCCCTCAACTGAAACCCAGTTTAAGTAGAATTATACTCAATCCTTGGATAAAGTCTATTTCCAGCTACTATGGATAATAATCCAGGCGGTCCCAGCTTAACCTTTGGCTCCAAACATTGGCACACCAAGTTCAACACTACAACTCAGAAGAAAATCGAGGAGGACCTGGGGAATCAATGCTGAGCATTACGGTTGTCACTTCTACCTGAGTTGTTGTATTATTTATGGGTCTGCTTCTCCACTTGACTATAAACTCTTTGATGTAGGAACTAAATCTTACTAATAAAATAAAAGCTACTATTTATTCAAGGTTTATTCCAGATACTGGATTAAGTGTACATATATACTGTATAATATTAAGGAACCATGTTAGGATCACACATTTCTAGAATTGGAAGGAGGCTTGGACAGAGATCAACCAGCTCCAAAATTAAAAGCAAAGTGACACAGTAGATAACACTCATTCTTTAATTCAAGAAACAATTACTGAGAACCTATCCTGCACTATTCTAGAACCTAAAGAAAGAGTCTTTGTTTTCATGAAGTATATAGTCTAGTGGATAAACAACAAGTCAATGGATACATGATATGTTAGATAATGACAGGAATAAAGCAGAGTAAAGAACAGAAAAAGGATGCTACTTTATACAGGGCAGTGGAGGAAGGGCTCACTGAAACAACGAATGAGCAGAGGCCTAAAGATCAAACCACATGGAATCTGGGAGAAAAGTGTTCCAGGTCAAGGTAACAACAAGCGCAAAGGTCCTGAGGTAGGAATGTGCCTGGTGCATGTGAGGAAAGCAAGGAGGCTAGGGCAGCTGGAGTAGGGTAAGAGGAAGGTGAGAGGAGGGGAACTCGAGGAAGGTAGCAGGGACGAGACCACCTGGCTTTGGGTTGCTGTAAGAAGTCTGAATTTAAGCCAGGAACTAAAAATAATTAACTCATAAAAAAAAAATAAAAGTAAATGACACTTAGCTTTCACAAAAGCAATGTATAATAAACAAAGAAAAATTCATCTGCGTGCCTAATCTGAAAATAGAATTCCCAGCAACACAGAGTCGCTGTTTATCTTATAGATGAGACATCTTTGTTTTACAAGAACTCGCTACAGTTATAGTCTAAGCTGTCGGCTTTACCAATGTGGACACTGAAGTGCAGAAAGATTTGGTGGTCTGTCCACTTCATGGCTGAACTTGGTCTAGAACACAGGTTCCCTGATGTTCTGTTCACTGGCTCCTGTTGCCCCTGCATACTCACTTTGGCTACTTAGAGGGGTCTTGGTTTACTGTGTATAGCTTCTCCTGGACTCTGTAACCTTTATAAATTAGTAAGAAAATGAAAGAGCTGCCCCTATGAGGCACCTCCAGACACATTCCCACACCAAAGCCTGTCATACAAACTCCCACAATTCTAGTTTTTTATTCCCCACAGAGTTCAAGACCACAAGGCAGGTAAAGTGAAGACAGGTCAGGCACTGTGCTAGGGAATAGAAGGGACATTTTTGTCGGTTTTGCCTGCCCAGCATCCCTTACTCCCTAGTGTCAGACATAGCACTTCCTTTTCCAAGATTCTGGTGGGGCAGCAATCACAGCACCCAACCCACCTATTGGAGTGGACATCTGACCTGGCCACGTGAAGAACCTTATCCCTCTGAGGCCATAACGAGGGCTCAGGACCCAAGCAGAACCAACTAGAGTCCTTTCCTGGGGTTTTATGGATAAGACCTAGAGAAAGAAGCTCCTTCCTGTGTTTCCCAGTTATACAAGCCAACACATTCCTATTTTGCTCAGGTTAGTTTAAACTAGGTTACCCTTACTAGCAATCAAAAGAATTCACACTCATGCAAGCACTTGCGCACCTTTTCTCATTTCATCTGCATAACCACCTTATAAGGTTGCTATTATTCACTCTATTTTAGGAGTGAGGAAACTGAGGTTAAGTAACTTGCCCAAGTTCGTGCAGTATGTAAAAGCCATTCAAATTCAGGTCTTTATGCTCCAAATCTTATTCAGTATGCAATTATGAATTCAGTATTAACTCAGGAAGAAGAAACTCAGCTGAAGAATTTTTGGTTTAAAATTATAGTGGAAATGTATGTATGGGGCAGGGTGGGAAATAAGCAACATTAAACTGGAGTCAAAGGACCTGGCTTCTTCCTCTGGCTCTGTCCTTTGACCTCATCTATCATGACTCTGGGCAAGACATTTCACTTACCTGAGTGTTAGTTTTCCCACCTATAAAATGAAAAGACTGAACAACATGAACTTAAGATCCTTTTAAGTACTAAACGAAAAAAGTCCATGGCTCTGCTTCAGGCATACAGACTCTATTTTTACTATATGTTACGTAGGATATCAGCAAATTTCAACTTGAATGTCAGGTCCAACAATAGGTAATGGTTGCCTGGGGCACAAAGTTGCAAAGGATTCTGAGCAACACAGATGTACTGGGAAATTAACACTGGCTTCCATGGTCCCAGGGAGGGAGAAAGAGGAACAGCTGCATGCTTGCCACACATATGCCATCGCTGATAGCTTCACCTTGACAGAGGACACTGCCTCCACTATCGATGCTATTAGTACCTACACAGGATTTTCAGATTCCATCATGAACTTACTTGGTTCCCCTTTGCAAGTAAAGAATGAAAGTACAAGAAAGCAAAGTGGTGTAGGGA